TGTTTCTTCCCTCATGCTAATTGGTACTTAATGTCTCTATTTGATGTGTAGAACGAGGAATCACAGTAAAATTGATAAAATCATATTTAGGTGATTTTTGTGGAAGAATTTATGTCATAACTTATATTCATGATAAGCATGCTTATTTCCCTTCTTATTATGAAAAGGTTGAACTTGATATTACTTGAGCTACTTTTCCTTTTTGTCGTTATTATAGTTGTTGGCTATTTGAAATGAATATTGGACCTTACTAAGCTCTAGGGATGTTCAAAACCGATCCGAAACCGAAAATCGAACCGAACCGAAACCGAAGCTTAATGGCTTATTGGTATCGGGTTAACGGTTTAACGGACAGGGAACGGACTGAATTTTTTATTAACGGCTTATCGGCTTGGGGGCGGATTATTCAATTTTCTTAACGGATAATCCGTTAACCCATTATAAATATATAAAATTTATTTTTATCCATATAAATTTTTCTTTCATTCTCCATTCTTCTAATTTGCTTTTATCTTTGATTTTTTCTTTGAGAAAACTGTTTGTATCACATGATTTTCTAGGGCAGCTGAAGTGTTGTATTTATACATACCTAGAAGGCCTTGACTGCTAAAAAAATAAAGACATAAATCCAAGTGGGCATTTAGATTAAGGTTGGACTTTTGCAAAACACACACTGGCCATTTATTCAACACGACTTCAATGAGATTGTGGTTGAGTTACGGTGAGGTTACTTTATTACTAACATTCTTTCATCACTGAAACTATTGATATGGCAGATCAAACATAACCTAATAGTTGTCCCAGGTATGTCATGGCTTACAACCTCAGCCAACAGATAAGAAGGAGAGTGTTGAACACACTTAAAGAGAGAGAAGGCATGAAGTAGCACCAAGTGCGTGTCCTAGAATAATACATGAATTAGGCCAATAAACCGCCCGATAAGAGCTAAACAGATACCAATCCGCTCGATATCTTATTGGGTGGCTAGCGGATTAATACATTTGAAAGCCGATAACCGATAAGCCAAACCGTTAAGAGTAAATAACCGCCCAATCCGCCCGATAAGCAGCCCTACTAAGCTCGTCACTGCTTTCAGCTCGAGGTTAGGTTTGTTACTTATTGAGTATATGAGGTCAGCTAGCTATACTCATAATACACTATGTACTTCATGTGCAAATCCAGGTGCTGCTAAGAGAGGTGATTGCTAGAGAGTGGCTTCAGTACCAATTTTGGAGATTTCGAGGTAGCTGCTATTTCCATTGGCAGGCCTTGAAGTCCCTTTTTCTCTTAGTTCATGTTATATTGTACCATCTTTCAGACAGTATTGTATTTTGGCTTCAGACTCTGTATTTGAATTCTGTAGCGTTCATGTACTCGATGACACCAGATCGTCGGATGGTTTTCAGTTGCATTGTTAGTATTGATTTCAGCTATTTATGTTATTAGGCTGTTGAGATTATTTAATAACGTTATTTAAGTGTTTCTGCTAATCGATTGTTGGCTTGCCTAGCAAGCGGTGTTAGGCACCGTCACGACTCCGATGGGATTTTGGGTCGTGACATTTCTATTGAAACTTTACATAGATAGATATATGTTTATCTTTTCAAATTTTTCAATAAATTGTGCGCTTCACTTCAAAGAAGCATGAAGCTTTCAGTTCTTGCTTTTCGCCAACACCATGGACTTTGTTGCTTTGTTTATGCTTTTTACTTTTATCACCTTGCTTGATCCATAAACAGCTTTATTCTGCCTCCACTATGTTTCTTCAGCTTTGGCAATCTCTTCAGTTCTTTTGAAAGGCTAGACTGCATGGATTCCACCTCATACTCAGCCCCTTCTACTGAATTTGACTAATCCTTCATAGCAAGCTTTTCCAAAACAACTTTCTATATTTCTTGCAGCATACCAAAGGCTTCCTTAGTTCCTTGTCCATTTTTTGATATCAAGGTTCAACAACTTCAACTTTTTGGCTAGGACAACATTCCCTGTACCTCATATGATTTCCACCATCTATCCACTAAATCAATGAATTCATTTCCAGCCAACATATTCTCGAATTTAAGATGACCTTTCTGTATTCCAATCCCCACATTCCAAGAGAATAGATTAGTGATTTGCACAAACTCTAGGAATGCCCCTCGGTTTTATAGTCTTAAAAGAAGTCATCCCGTTTAGTAGATATAAGGAACCTGTCAATCCTTGATGCACAAGAAATATCATTATCCCTTAATCAGTTGAATTGTCCACATTGGAAGGGATAATTCATCATAGGTAACTCATCAACTACTTCTGTGAAATCTCTTATAGATCTAGGATTGAAAACTCCGCCACATCTTTCGTCACTAAATCTTGTTACACTGAAATCCCATCCGACAACACATGATGATGCTTCGAACCCCTAATTAGCAACCACTTCATGCCAAAGCTCCTTTCTCCCCCCATCACAAGGGCAGTAGAGATCCAGAGTTCAACTCCTACAACAAAACAGTAGCCGCGCAGACCCATCAATCGTTACATATCCATATTTTCTTGTTCAGCAACAGTAGAATACCTCCACTACTTCCCTAGGCTTCAACAATCAGCCCTTCTGCTCATGTACTGCCCCCTATCTTTTTAATAAGAGGAAAATCTGCATTGTTCATTTTTGTTTCCACAAAACAGATGATATCTGCTTTCCAATCTCAAACCATCAGCCTGATCAATCTTTGTTCATCTTTATCTTTTAGGGGTTCCAAAAGCTTAACTTCAAATTCACTTTTTTTCATTCAATAACTTCCTCCTGCTGCCCACTGCCCACTGCCCATATATCCACTAGACTCACCATAATTGACATTAAACGGGCAATTTCAACTCCCTTTAAATATAGGAGAAGGATTTGAGTTTGACACCAATTTATAGGTCCTGATATTTTCAATCTGTAGTAACAGATAAAGGAGTTCATTTTCGAGTTCCATCATATGAACCCCAAGTAGTTTATACATTTTCAGTATATTCCTTCTTACCCATCTTGACGCCCTTCTCAGTTTAATCTTTTACTGAAATTGCGCATAAATATATCAAAGGAGAATCAACAGCATGTGTTCATGTGAATTCTTCAAAAACCTTTGAATGAAATTCTTTTGAAGATTTTCCCAGGTCATATTGTCATCTTCAGGTAATGACTCCATCTCACCCTTTCATCCTCGAAATATTCCAGAGAAAAGCTTTCTTTGGACCTAGGGGAAGGTCTTGGACAAACATATCCAAGGAAGCAAGCACAGAGACTGTAGTATCTTTATTTCCCATCGATTCCAACATCTGCATGGAGCTCTCAACTTTCCGACACTAAAGGATAAATGAGATAAGGGTCTGCGTCTTTAAACATGGCTCTTCAGCTTTGGACTTGCAGACATTTCTAAAATTGGCTCCCCATCCATTAGATATATGAATGTTTGAAATGGTTGGGCTGCTCCTCATTTTCACCAATGAATTGGATGGTCCTATCTACTATTAGAAGATCCAGGCGCACCAGACTTAAAATTAGAAGAGGAAAATTGGATCCCCGTCCGTTAGATATATGAATGTTTGTAACGGTCGGGTTGCTCCTTATTTTCACCAATGAATAAGATGGGCTACTTTTATTATTTGTCTACTTATTAGAAGACCCAGACGCACCAGACTTAAAAATTAGAAAAGCAAAGCCTTCACAAGATGGCCCTTTTCATTTTTAAATTTTAAATCTGGTTGCACAATTGACATGCATCCCGTACGCATGTTAGAATTCCACAAGGTATTCTTATTGGGAAACTGTGACGCTGCATTCAAATCACCAAGGTTCTACACCTCATCTCTTCCATTTCTGCGATAGCCGTATTTTACATCCTGATCAACTTTCTCCACCCAAGCATTGAACTCCACCCATATCCGAACACTAAACGTGAAGTTATCCACCATGATTTTAATCGTCGTCGGGACTTTTATCTCTGCAAAACACATGCAGATTCTAGCCCATCTCAGATATATTATGTATCTCTTGTTATCATCCATTTCTAGAAAACAGAATCTGTCTCCAATTTTTCTTGAAGATGTCTTTCAACCGCGGAAAACTTGAACATCTTATCCAAACCTGGTCGGAGCGCTAAATTTGGTCGATGACAAACGTTGATCAGTGACACCATTTAGTTCTTTAACTCATCTAGCCGGAATATTTCAATTCTTGCAGCCCATTTTTTGAAATTCCCAATGACTAGGGCGATTTTCTGGAATCACCAAAGCAATCAATTAAGCATGTATACAAACTCCATCGTATACCTGAGAGAGTAGTTGTCAATCAAGAATATATTGCTCCGTTCTATCATTTTTTAAGATTTTAACATCTTCTCTTTGCCAAATCTTTATCTGTACCACATAAGGACAAATCCACTCCAGGTGGTCACTCTTTCGACATCTCTTCCTTCCACGACCCTTTCTCAACAAATTTAATAATTTTATTAGCAGAGTCCAGCCATCCCAAGTTCTCTCCCAACTGTGGAATGATATTGTGGGTCTTTTTTCTTCCCTTCACAGACACTACTATAATATAATTTATAAACAAATTGAAATTTTAGAAGATAAACTACTATGACGGTACTATGATATACAATAGAAACTTTATCTATACTAGTAGAATTAGACCGACAGAGGGCCCAACATTCACTACCTATTGTTGAAAATAATTTTGGCATGAGACTTTTGAACATAGTAATGAGCATGCTATACCATCTTCCGAAATCTACTGCATTTTCCAGCCCAAACTCCACATTCCCGCACCACCACCCGAACAAAAATATGTATATAAGAGCAATAACAAAAAAATAAAAATAAAGGATGAAACCTCATGAAATAAAAGGGACAAAACAAACTGGAGGGAGGGGTCAAAAAAGAACAGAGTTCCCTACTACCACGGCTAAAACGAATACGCAGTTTCTAAAAAAGGTCTTGAAATCATTATTCCTTTAAATAAATAGAGCAGTTGAACTTACTTCAAGAAATATGTTCGGACAATCGGCCAAATGTTGAGCCAGGTTAAGAGCCTCGGGGTTAGTTGGTGACTCTCCAGCTGTTATGTGATCGAAATAAAAAGTAGCCAAGTTGTCCACAGCAGATGCACACTAAAAATAAATAAATTGGATTCAGTTTGTTGAGAACTAATTATATGATTCATCCCAGCAAGGCTGTCATTGAATCGTGACCACCTTATACAAAAGCTTAAGCTGTCAGATAGAGCACACTTTTAATTATTTAACTAGTTTTTGGATACGTACGTTGCACGTGCATTCCTATCAATTTTATATAATATATGTTAACAAATAGTGAGCATATTCGACCGACTTAATTTCTAAATACAAAATAATTAGGTTTATATAAATATGTAATATGATCATATCCTACTTCCTTTTCCTTATAGACAATTAATAGAGCCTCATTATCCAATGCCTTCTCTATTACTGTAAGTTCGTTACTCATTGTTCTTTCAACACTTTGGATTGGAGCTCTATTTGATATAATAATATAAAGGAAACTATAACACCACCTATATGTAGATTGACTGCATTCCTTCAACACATGAACTATGATGATTTAGAAAGGAAGAGATATAATACATATATTTGAAAACTATTATAAACTATGTTAATATTAAGGATAAACAAAGAGAAAAATAGATGCATATCTGATATGGAGCTCGTTGGCATAGAGAAAAACCGAACTAATCAGAGTCGCACAAATGCACATAGAGGGGGACATATGAAATGGAGCTCGTTGGCTGTTAAGCATATGTCGATCTCATTTAAAATCACAACTTAGAAAGTATTTCTGTATAGGTCTGCCTTCCAAGAACTTTACATATCTATCCTTGACGTGTGGTCATCTACTTTTGCACTCAATTTGGATCTCTACCTTTTGTAATTGTGCTCTCATTAACTTACATATATAGATGATTTATTGACACTACCTTTGCCTGTTCATTTTTTCTAGCGCTTAGGTTATTTGAACTTTAAGTATAGTTAATTCATTGATAGTATAAAAAAATTACTGCTCAATGTGAGAAAAGAATATAAACATAATAGAATTTCTGAAGAGATTTTGTGGGTTACCAACGTATAAATGAAAGAAATAATTTAAAAAACTAGATAAAAATGAAAATAGCAAGAAGTGCATGGAAGAGGTGCAACTTCACTAATATCAGTATTTATTATGGAATGCTTGCCCTAACGTTTCAGCACATTAGTATAATAAAGTTTTGGTTTAAAGTTGATGAAGGAAGAACTTATTTATTTTTTAAGGGCATCAATGTCACTTAATTTTATAAGGATATTTTAGTCTTTTGACTTCACACTAAGGCCTTCACACTTATATTATAGTATAATTATATTAGGTCTCGCTTGTGGGCTTGATTGGGTCAAACACGTGAAATATTTTTTGCTTTTTGAGTGGTGGTGAAATTTGAACTCACAATCATTGCATGCTCAGCCACCATGTTGAAGTGTGTGACCACCTCGTATAAAGTTTAAGATGTTAGAGAAGAGCACACTTTTAATTACTTACTTGTATTATGTCTCAACACTTGCAAAGATCAAACAAATACAAAGAAATGGCATCCAACATCCCAAGGACAATGGTCGATCGCAGCACAAACCTGTGATTTGATATTTGCATCCAGAACTTTAAGTCCAGACTCAAGAGACCCAGCAATAAATATAAAGCTACTTGAGTCCAAGTTTAGTATCAAATGGATCTGGTTTTTCATCATGATTTCCAGGAATGTGAAGTAAGCTCCTGAAAGCTGTAGGATAAGACAATTCGAAGTGGTTATATTGTTAAAATGAAATGCAGACAATGTGATAATTTACAGAGGGAAAAAGAATATATACCCCTCAAAATTCGTGTAAGAGGTATGTCCACTGCTGAGGACACAATCAGGGATAAAACCACTTTTAAAGATAAACAGCTTAAACAAATTAGCTCAATTTGACACCACTGCTCATTCGAAGAATGTTGAGGCTCTAATGTTTAAGAAGCAGCAACACCGCTGATTGAACAGATAAATTTTTGCCAGAATAACAATGAGAAGGTCCACTTTAAAAAAAAGTGGTCAGTAGTTTAAAATATTTAACTCGATCATACCAATCCAAAAGAAAATGTAAGATATAGACAAAGACACAGAAAAAAATGAAAAAGGAACTGAAAAGAAAACCAAAATGATCAACTTCTTCTCTGCATCTGCTCCCCACATACACAAGACTCAAAGACGGCTTAAATCTACTCCAAGCAAACACTAAAGGCATACAAATGGTGCTCCAAACACATAAAGAACTACAAGTGGCTGCTACCAAATCCATATTTAAAGATGTATATCCTGACAAACAAATTTTAACCAACATACTTCTGCAGTTTTCATATGCTAGCATCATAGTCAGAACCAAATTGCCTAAATGTTAGTTCCAACATAATGCTCAATAGATAACAGGAGTATTTCTTTCCACCAGGATGTTGACCTCTCAAATGTCTCAGTAGTCTCTATATTTTCCCGTGTTGTAATTGTGTCACTTATAAGTATGTTTTCTTAGCTGAGCGAATGTAGACAACTCACAATAAACCATACTTTACATCTGCAACAAGCACATAGAAACTATGGGCTCAAACTTGGTGCGTATGTGAGTTGTGATGCTCCCATTCTTTTTTGGGAGTACACTCCAAAATAAGTAGAGTGCTGGCAACAAATTTTGATGTTTGTTGGGAAGTTTATATGTTCATAAATCACATAAAATATCTTTGTTCAGAGCATAAAGCAGCAGAAGGTTTTATGTTCAGAAACAAAATCAGTCTGAACATACTATTTTGTTAACATCATATAGTAAGAGGAGTTAATTCTCATGTGATAAGCATCTAATAAATAAAATACCAGCGATATTTTTGAATAAATCAGCTCTTAATATAATACCTTTCTATATGCGAGTATATCAGCCAAGGGAATAGATAGAGCCATCCTCATAGAAATGTCAAAAGCATCTGCTAGCGCTCTGTCCCCATAAATCTCAAACACCCCAAAGTTGACATAGTTACCAGCAAGTGCTACAGTGTAGAGTAAAGCATAAGCAATTACATAATGATGAAATGACGATCAATTCAGTTTTTTACATTCCCATTTGTTAACATTACATTTCCAGGGTTACTGTAGTGTTGATCAGCTAAATACACAGATGGGGAAAATACATAGTCTGCTAGGCAGAGAGCCACATATATTTTGCACAAGGGAACAGAGGGCCAAAGAGAAAGAAAACAAAGGGCTAACAGAACTTGCTTAAACAACTGTTCACTTGACTGTTAAGAACAATAAGATGGGGTGGGTAATAGAAGAAGCTACTCCTCTAAATTTACAGAGTTTAGTGGAAGAGAAGGACCCAGAATTTAAGGCTTCAATTTGGGTACACCAAAACATAATCAGACTCGGCAAGGTGTTTGGGATAAATTTTCAGGTATGCGAGAAAGAAGCAGTGTCGCTTTTCGTGAAAATTGAAAACAAGAGACAAGAGAACAAAGGGTTTCCAGATATGCAAGTGTCAGAAACTCCACGACAAAAAGGAATTAAAGAACAAAAAGGGCTGGAAATAGGAAGCAACTTCAGAAGCAATGGTACTAGAAGTAAGGGGGGCGTATGGTTATCCAGGATCAATGAAGGTAAACATTCTCTCATGGAATGTTAGGGGGTTGAATCGACATAGAAAAACAATGTTGATCAAGAGATTAATTCACAAGTGGAAAGCAGATATATACTGTTTTCAAGAATCCAAAATCGAAGGAGACATTGGAGAGATGGTAAAAGAACTGTGGAAATAATAGATGGGGGAAATATGCACAATTGGAAGCTAGTGGGACTAGAGGGGGATATTAGTTTCATGGGATGGTAAAATGTGACGGAAGACCTGATTTTATCCTGGCCTTTAAACTTAATGCAAAAACTTACTATCCTCAACCAACTAGCTGAACGGGAGGAAATACATGATCAGAGATGTCTGACTGAGGAAGAAAGACATGTTATGTCTGCTTTAGCTCCGGAATTTGAAGAGATTGCTAGAAATGAGGAGGTGGCTTGGAGGCAAAGATCTAGGGCTCTTTGGTTGAAACAAGTGAATAAAACACTATATGTTTCCACAGAACTGCAAATGCTGATAGGAGATACAATAATATTGACAAATTGAATGTAGAAGGGGAAACTATGGAGTGTCCGGCAGACATAAAAAAGGAGATTGTCACATTCTACCAAAAGCTATATTTTGAACCAAAAATATGGATGCCACAGGTCAATATCAAAAATTGTCCTATAATTTCTCCAGAAGAGAACTTAATGTTGCAAAGTCATTTTGAAACTCAGGAGATCTGGAAAGTGTAAAGGCACGTGTAGGGGACAAAGCACCAAGTCCTGATGAATATTCTATGGCTTTCTTCATTCAATGATCGGAGGTAGTGAACAAGGAAGTAGTAGCTGCAATCCAGAAATAACACGAACAGGGTGTGTTTGAAAAGAGTTTTAATGCCACCTTTGTGGCATTAATTCCTAAGAAGGTGGGGGCCAAAGAGTTGAAAGATTTCAGGCCTAGAAGTCTAATAGGAAGTGTTTACAAGATCATATCTAAATTATTGACTGAAAGACTCAAAAAAGTAGTAAACAACCAGGTGGATGCTCAACAAATGACTTTCATTAGGGGCAGACAGATAATGGATGCCCCTTTAATCGCCAATGAATGTGTAGATGCAAGATTGAAAAGCAAAGAACCTGGAATATTATGCAAACTGGACATAGAGAAGGTATATATCACTTAAATTGGAACTTTCTGTTAGATGGATTAACTGGATAAAATTTTGCATCAGTACAGTAAAGTTCTCAATTCTGGTCAATGGTTCATCAGCTTGTTGTTCCTTCTCAGAGGGGTTTGAGGCAAGGAGACCCTTTATCTCCTTTTCTCTTCATAATCGCTATGGAAAGATTGAATGATATGCTAAAAACTGCCCAATTAAACAATTGGATAAGGGGTTTTAAGGTAAATGCTAGGGCTGAGAGCAATACGGAGATATCCCATCTACAGTATGTTGATGACACTATTGTATTTTGTGAGGCTGACAGTGAACAACTGAAAGTGTTAAGGGCAATTTTATCTTGTTTGAAGCTACATCTGGATTACATATTGACTGGAACAAAAGCTTTATGTATCCAATAAATATTGTAAATGAGACGCAATGCTTGTCTAGAATTCTTGGAGGTAAAATAGGGGAGCTTCCTACCGTTTATCTGGGAGTGCCATTGGGGGCAAAGATCAAATCAAAAGGGATATGGAATGGTGTTATAGAGAAATGTGAAAAGAAGTAGACTAACTGGAAGAGTCAGTACCTATCTAAGGGGGTAGATTAACTCTAAATAACTCTATTGGATGCTACGCCCACTTACATGATGTCCCTGTTTCCTATTCCTGTGAACGTAGAGAAGAGAATAGATGCATTAAGAACGAACTACTTGTGGGAAGGGAGCTGCAATAAGAAGAAAGTACATTTAGTCAAATAGAACTCTCATACAATCAACAAGAAGGAAGGGGGGTTGGGAATAAAGAACTTGAGAACTCAGAATCAAAGCTTGATGATGAAGTGGTTATGGAGATTTTCTTAAGAAGAACAATCCTTATGGAAAGAGGTGATTAGGGAAAAGTATGGTACGGATGGTAAATGGACAACAAAATCAGTGAATGGGCCTTATGGGGTAAGTCTATGGAAATCCATCAGAAATCTATGGCGTAAATTCATGAACAAAACCAAATTCAGCGTAGGAAATGGCATGAAGATATCCTTTTGGAAGGATAATTGGTTAGGGCAAGGATCTTTGAGACAATTTTTCCTGACATCTACATCCTCAATTAGCAACAAAAAGCAACAATAGGAGAGGCATGGAATATGCAAGGGTGGAAGCTTGCTTACAGAAGACTGAGTTTTACAATATTATAGAACAGTTCAAAGGAATTTCAAACTCTGAAGACAGTATGAATTGGCAAGGAAATAAAATTGGGAAGTTCTCCGGTAAATCAGCTTATAAGGAATTCATCCTTTCCATGAATCAAGTCGGTTGTTGGCCATGGAAACTGATTTGGAAAGTTAAAATTCCATAAAAAAATTGCTTGCTTTACTTGGTTGATGGCAATGGAGGCGGTGTTGACACAGGACAATCTAGTCAAGCGAGGATATCAATTATGCGCTAAATGCTACTTATGTGGAGAGGAGGCAGAGTCAATTAGTCATTTAGTCATCTCTTTTTACACTGCAGGTTGACTGCTTAACTATGGAGATTTATCAACTCAAGGGGTATTATGTGGACTATACCAAGAATAATTCCTGAAGTTCTTACATGCTGAAATAGAGATGGTAATTTGTCTAATCAGAAGGAGAGATGGAGGAGTCCCTGCTTGCATCTGGTGGATAATTTGGGAAGAGAGAAACCAAAGATGTTTTGAAGACAAGTACAATCATGTCCAGAATATGAAGATGAAGTGTCTATTGCTGTTCTACTTTTGGTGTAAAAGAAAACTTTTAGAAAACCATGAGTCTATTTTTGATGTTTTAGATTCCTTGCGAGAAGAACAAGGATTAGGAGTCTTTCTTCCTCTCCTATGTAATTATGGGATGTGTAGTCTTTATTAATATACAATATGTTACCTTCTCAGAGAAAATATCCTAAAATTCCAAGTTAATAGAAATATCAACTTTATGAAATATACTAATTCTTATTCAGAGAAATAAAAACAAAAATAATAAGCTACTCTACTGGAGTTTATCACAGTAAGACAAAAGAGGGGGGAAACAAGGCAACATAAAACAGAAGTAATGGGCTTCGTAACTCTTCTCCTAGGCATGAAACTTAACAGTCAGAGAAGATTAGTCTTACGAGCAAACAACAAACAGGAAGCCTTCCATTTCAAGGGCCATACACAGGGAAATCTAGAATATATCCAAAATATTTTTTTTGAGAATGAATATAACCAAAATATTGTAGAAGCTAAAAATTCCTACCTCTCGAAAGAATAGTCAAAGAAATCCAAATACCCTTGTATTTGAACTGATACATATCCACGTGACTAGGCAGAGAGAGAATTCTGGATCCATATGCAACAATTAATTTGCTGACTTCTCGAAAAAGAAGAATGCCATTGGGAGATGAGATTTCAAAATTCAGTCGTTGGGACTTGTTCAGCACAAACTCGGCTATGAATTTAAGCAGCGGTGTTGTCACCTATTCCATACATTAAAAAAAAGGAGACACAATTATATTAGCTTTACAGGAGAAGAAAACAAAAGTCTCCAGTGTGCACCAAAGCACAAGCACTTTCTAGGGATCAACTACTCTGTTTTTTTTTTTTTATAATTATAATGTGCTAAGATCAGAGTGAATGAAATAGCAATAGAAAAATATCTTAAATTTTAAGGGAAAATTGCCCCCTACAAGTTGATATCACAAAAGTTACTTTTTTTGTTTTCAATATTTGTTAGATCTCCTGCAAGGGAAAAAAGTTTCAACAATCTGGTACGCTTCATCTCACCAGCATGTAAACCCATATACACAAATGTTCTTTATCCAGGACTGACACTGCAAACAGAGTAGCTCATTCTTGTATTGGCAAGTAAATGTCAAGAGAGAAATATATATGCACAGCATATATTTGGATGTGCTTCCATTGGGTACGAATTCTATGGAAGAATGTATGTAAAGGGAAAACAGAACAGTAGTAAAGATTTAACAGTAGAAACTCTAATGCTCTTTAACGATTAAATCTCACCTCTGGAGTGTCTGCCCATATTCTTATGGCCTTAAGAAGAAGGGGAATATGTGCTGGATATAACCAATCAAATAGGAAACCATAGGTTCTTCGGCTGTTGAACAGTAGGAATAGGAGGACAAAGATGAAGTGAAAGCATTTGAAACAATCAAGTCTTATGCCTCAACAGGAAAAATTCATATTCACCATGCTACTAACCTACTTGTAGCCATTGCAATTCCTCTGAGATCCCTCATCAACCCAATTAATGCTTGCTTAACATCATCAGTGCGAAACAAGGCATCCAGAATCAGTTCCAAACTCAGCAAGACCTTTTATTGCATCATTACCGCTCAACTCATCAGTGTGAGGAACAGAAACATAATTACAGCTTCTGAACTTTTACAATAAGGCGAATGACTAGGAGCAGTTTATTCATGGAAAAAAGAGTTGAGCAACTTCTGGTGCAATTAAACAAAAACAATGAGGTAAAACTCTTTCGCATACTATTCATGGTGGTAAGACAATAATAAGAAAGTTACGTAATTATTGCTCCAAACACACACCTGTAGAAGTGGATCCATTGATGCTTTAAATTTCAAAAAGCTATCTTCCATAAAGATCAACAAGCCAATAATATAGTAAAAGGTAGTTCTACTACGAGAGCACCTGAAGTCCCCCAAAAACGGGAATTCTTCCCTCTAAATATGAAAAATTTAAAGTATTAGTCCAACCAAAGCTACAAATGTTTAGGAATCAGCAGAAAAGAGAGCAATGTACCTCAGCTATAAATGATACTTACATTACGATTGGATATTATTAATTGAGTAGTATCCAACTTTACAAGAAGCTTTGCAGTCATATATCTGCCAAACCAAGAAGCTTAAAGTAATTAGAATAGAACAAGGAGATGCCTCAACTCTAATAATTGGTGAAAAACTCGAGAAGAAAAGTAAGATGATACTTGCCCAGATGCCATTTCCAACATGAGATTCAGTGTTTGACTGATAACTTCCTCGCTCTAATGAAAAAGAAGAGATATAATGATTCATGATCATGGCAAAATCACAAAAAATCAATTATGACAATTACCTCTCCATAAAACTTAAGATTGGTTGCTATCTTCCCAACAATGACATTCAATATTAGCATATGATCATGGAGCCCAAGAAGCTCAGCCAATTTAGCATATAGTTGCTGTAGAGGAATAAATGGATTAAATACCCAGCAAGAGAAATGACAATAGAAAGTTTTTGGCACTTGGGTACCACAGCAAACAAATTTCAATTGTGTACCTTAGATGAATGTATTGCCTGATCTCCAACATACGACTTTCTAAAGTTCTGGAAGAAAACAAGAATAGCTAGATCAAGGCGCTGTTTGCTCGTTTCTGCATATCTCTGCATTATATCAAGGATAAATGACATAAACGATGATGTCAGAATCAACCCAATATATACAAGTTTGATCAAGTTCCAAGAAAAGAAAAAGAATAAAATGCTTGAACGTGTAAACGAGGATGTGCTATTGACACAATAGAGTTTCACCTTTATTTTAGTTCAGGGAATGTGACAGTAACTTTTCTACATTTCAGAGTTATAAGAGTGCCAAAGTATAGGGAGGAAATTTGAGTGAACCTGACTGCGTAAACCACTATCAGTAACATTTATCAGCCGCAGTACGCGTGCTGAAAGTTCTGCATCAAGGATTTCTTGAGATTCCCCACTAAAAGTAGAAACAAACATGAGAGAAAATTAGGAGAATGTGAACCTAAAACAACACAGCTAAAATAAGTAAATAAGCTTGGCAATACCTGTATCCACTAAGTTGCTTAGTCTTAACAATAGCTGCAATTATGTGAACTATCCAAGCAAATTTTGTTTCCACCACCGTAAGAACCTGGGGATCAGCGGATTCCTGTTTCAAACAGAAATAAATGTATCACTGCAAACACATAAGCTTCATTAGACCTTAAACCCTTAGAAATAATAAAACAAAAAATCTAAGCATACCATATACATCTGCAGTAGAGGATCAGTAATCTGCATAATGTATGAGCTACAACTCTCATACTGTGTCAAATTAACTCAAATTAATCCAAATTCAGCAATTTCAGTAAGTCAAAAGCCAACAGTAATAGCAAACATTGAACTTAAATGAATTAGAAAGTCAAGCAACTTTCAGAACATTTTGATAATCTCAAGAGTGTAAATACTTTAGAGTCTGAACCTGAAATCTGCAAAGATAAGGAAGACAATCAAGCTGATCTTGAAGAAGGTCAACATTGTCAAGGGGGTTCTCTGAGAGATCAGAGATTTCTCCCTGCAACACAAAATAACAGAAAGTAAATCAAAACCACAACTTAACATGAAACTCTTGATGCAACCTCACTTGCAAAAACAATACAGTGCAACCTGAAAGGAACCAAATCTTGATGTGATAAAACTTTTCACAATCTCTGGTACAAATTCACTAAGCAGGCTTGGTGTGTCTCCCTTCAAATACGGCACAGATGAAACCAATCTAGACCACAGTCCAAGAAGGTAGTAAACACTACTGCTAGCCCACTGATCATGAGAAAAACCACAATCAGAAATTTCAGACAAACAGAGTTAAGATTAGTGATCAAAAGCTGTTCTCGAACCCAGTAACAAGGGGTTGACCTGCCAAGACTGCAAAGATCTCAAAGTGAATTCGGCAACCAGACGTATCCAGTCCCCATAACTTTCCACATTGACAAGCTCCGATAACTGCAATAGCAGTATCAAAATCACAGAAAGAAGGCACATCAAACACATTGCAGGAATCAATAAAAGGAAGTTGAAACAAAATATTTTGACCTGGCCAGACTTGAGACAAATGGCAAATTCGGCAATGAGCATGCTAGTTAGAAGCAAACTTTAGATCAAGCAAAATATCCATGAATATATCCTAATGAAGGCTCTGATGTGGTTGACTGTAATTGAAGAAATAGTACTACCAACTTGTTCAGGTTATGGGCCTACAATTGGCTTACGAAACACAAGATTCTTCGTCTTTACACTCCATAACCACTAGCAGCTACTTATAAAATGAGGCAATTACTTATTCCTCGGTCACTGATTGATACATTATAAACTCATGCCGACTCTCAAACTTTGAGATCTGTGAAACTTAAGGTTGAGCAGGAATCTTACAGTTATAATTTGGAAAAATTGTACATATTGTAGCCTAAACTACCAACTCTATTGGAGCAAGAAGCTCTAAACTCCTTTGATGCCAAAGTTATGAAATGAGATTGTAACTGGTCCTAACTTAGCTAAACTTGGTAAGTGATTTAGTACAATAAAAATATCAACATACGGAATCAACGTGATCAAACGAACAATGAACTAACACAGAATAACACTATATTATTTGCAGGGGCGGATTTAGGGGGTGGAAGGGGGTTCACCCGAACCCCTTCGCCGAAAAATTACACTGTATATATAAGGCAAAATCTGTTTTTTACCTCTATATATTAAGTTTTGAACCCCCTTAACACAACTCAAAAGTGTAGCTTAGAGGTCAAAGGGGTTCAAAACCTTTCTAAGGTCATAGGTTCAATTCCCACTAGCTACAAATTTTTTTTTGAACCCCTTTCGCGAAGATCCTGCCTCCGCCACTGATTATTTGGTGTTCGTGTGAAAATCTTCTAACGACATCACATCTCCAAGCAGCTTACCAAGAATTTTAGACAAGGTTCAAACAGTGTAGAGAATTAAAAAATGATGGACAGTGTCATGAAAACATGATTATATGGGTAGCAAGAAGCGCTTATGCCCCGACCATGGGGCCTTTATGGGAAGAGTCAAGCCCAAAAGGAACAGCACATCCCTATTTCAAGTGCAACGTTGTACCGACTGATGTTATTATGTCTTTTATTTTTAATAAGAGGAAGTGAAAACAACATACTTCACTTCAAATGAAGTTCTTCAAGGTACAAACGTCATCTTTCTGGTACAGTTGTTACTGCACTAATCTTCAAGGACCCGCTTGACCACTACTCTAAAGCCATTGTATTTGTCAAGTGGGTCAACATGTATTATAGATAACCTTTTCTAACAACAATTAAGTTAAAAATACAAATAGTGAAATTTTACGATAAGTGGGTTGAGTGAATCCCCTTTGTTGAACGTAGATCCCCCCTTGGCTTTAATATACTAACCTAATGAAACTTTCCTCTCTTCTCTTATTCACGACTCTAAGCAAACATGGACATACACAAAGGAAATTCCGAAGTTTACAAGATATAATGTCAAAACACTATTCAGTTGAGAATGCATAATGAAGAAAGTGAGAAAACACCATCTTAGAGTCATACATACATAAAAGTCATCTATGTACATCAACAATGCCTCAATTCAAAGCGAGTTAGGTCAGCAATATGAATCCTCACAAATGAATTTAAATCTATGTGGATGCCTAGCACTAACTTTTCATATTATCAAGAAAAAGAAGGTAAGGGAGCAGAGGCTTCAATTCATACCTGATAATTGACTTTAAAACGTCCAAGAAGCCGACAGAACTCATGATAATTATCGTGATGAGCCAGACCTGTTCCAGGAAGGGGGAATGGAGAATCGTTTCATCAGATTCTCTAGCAGAACATAGGAAATGAAACACTTTAAAACAACATCCGCTTGCTCAACCTAATTGATGCTAAATCAATAGAAATCAACTTATGTTCATTTTCCTTTCTCCAACCCTCACCCCATATCAAAAGCTAGGAGAAAAATGTAACTCCCTCCGTCTCAATTTATGTGATAGTGTTTGACTGGACACGGCATTTAAGAAAGAAAGAAATAAAGAAAGGTTTTCCAAACTTGTAGTCTAAAACAAGTCATAGATATTTGTGAGGCTATATATCATCTCATCCAGGATAAAAGGAAAGTTTAAAGTTAAACTGTTAATAAATATAGAAAGGTGTCATTCTTTTTCGGACGGAGGGAGTAACAAACTCAAAAGACCTACCTGATCTAGTAAGTGTACTGCATCCATTGATAATTACAAGTAAACAGAAAAATACAGTAGCATGATTGCATAAAATGAGACCTGCTGCTTTGTGCATGTTTATCGTTGACTTGTTATGGATATTTAACATTGTTAGTTATAGATTTCTTTTAAGAGCTTATTGACAGAAATTAGCAGTTCGATTGGCTTGTGTATCTGTTCGATTGGTGTGTTGTTTTGGGGTTTAACTCAAAGATGATATAACATCTTATTTTGGATGAATGGTGGAACCTTATTAAAATAAGGCTTCCAGGGGATGCAACAGATACAAAAAAATGCTCCTAATAAAAACACGAGGAAAATCTTTAAATTTGCATAAGCCCTTTTTCCAAAAATATTTGGTTGACGTATAGTGGTTGAAAAACTATTGCAACGGAAACTTTAAAGAATCAATATGATTTCAATTAGCCCCAATTTATCAAATTCAGACATAAACTTCCATTCTATTGACAATCACTTGTCAAGAATGGAAGGTTTTTCTCCAAACCAACATCATAAAAGGGAGTTGGTGCTCTGCAACAGGTCCTTGTTCTGCTAGAAACTATATTAAGTTTATGCATCATCTCTATCTCAAAACCTGAATTCTATTCTTTTAATTTTAGAAAGACAACCTACCTGGATTCTATTCAACTGTGAACTTCTTAAATCCCAATGAAACCTTCCAAATTAAACAGGGAAATTGGCGCCGGAATAAAAGGGCGTCTTTTGAAGGTACTGAAATGACCTCATAAGTTACTAGAAAGCACATCTCCCATAGAGAGGCCAGTGCAGATATACCTTGGAGCCAGTGGTGCCTGAGAACCCATGCATACTACGCACCCATGTTTTCAAATGAGTTCTTAGTTCACTGGATGAACTTTTGCCATAGGAAGATCGAGCCTCATTTAGAGCATTCTTTTGTATTTTTTTCCCTGTTCACAGGCAAGCGCCATTCTCTCATGTTTGTTTCCTTTTTCCCCTTTGAATCTTTCTTCTCATCCTTTTTCCATGTTTTTTACCTGTTTTTCTTTCCAAAACCAAGCAGCCCTATAGCCTGTTTGGCCAAGCTTCTTTTTGGCCAAAAGTGATTTTTTCCAACATTAAGATGTTTGGCCAAGCTTTTAGAAGGAAAAAAGTATTTTTGAGTAGAAATAGAAGCAGCTTTTGAGAAGTAGAAAAAAGTAACTTCTTCCCATAAGCAATTTGGAGAAAATCACTTTTGAAAAAAATACTTAGAAGTATTTTTTAAAAACTTAGGTCGAAAAACAATTGCTGCTCAAAAGTGCTTTTCAAATTAATTAGCAAAAAACAAACTGCTTCTCCCCAAAATTATTTTTTTTGAAAGTACTTTTCAAAATAAGCTAATTTTAGAAGCTTGGCCAAACAGGCTAATCTCTTTCTTTTTTCTTTTTTTAAAAAAATTTTCCCTCTTGAAAAGGATTTAGCATCATACATTGATAATATATTAGTTAAAAGATGTTTACATTATCACTATAATTTTACTGTTTTGACAGGTTACTTACCATTATAGGTTACCAATCAAATGGTTGTAGTGAGAAATTACCTATAGTTAACCTTCAAGCAGCTTAATTTGATAATACTTACTTATATCTTTCAATTGTAAAGATTAAACTGTTTTGCAAAACCGATACGACTATTCTCCCATACCTTTCATCAACTACCAAGCCCTAACATTAGTGACTTTCATTAGCTTGGAAATTGCTAGAATCACAAATTGTCAGTTGTGACTCGTCCCTCTTCCGTCATCAGCAGTGGTGCGCCCATCTTCTTAAAATCCTGGATCTGTCTTTGAGAGAGGCCCTTCTAGAGGCAAGTATTATGTCAACTAATTAGTTGTGGATTGTGACGGCCAGCTTTGGTATTTGTGGATTAGCATCCTTGTTTCTAGATTAAAAAAATGAGCTTCTTCCTTAACTATGGTTGTCCAAATCAGCTTGCGCGCACCTCAGTTATTCATCGGATACTTGCTACCTCCCATCAACACAAATAAATTATGTCTACTAAGGCTTAGGCAAATTTGGAAGAAATCACTTAGAATTTTGCCTCTGCTGGGATTTGAATCCTGATCTTTAAGCTTTGTATACCACTTCATTAACCACTAGGTCACACCGTTGGTGCATAAAAAAGGAGCATTAAAATGACTATCGGTACCAAGATTACAAATGAGCATCTTTGGTAGGAAGCTAAATAAGGAGGAAAATTGCGATACTCGGAGGTGAAGGAGGAGTTAACAATGATGTAATAGCTCAAAAGACTAGTTGGAGAAAAAAATTGAAAGCACTTTGGTTCAAATGTAGGCTACTCCAATAGAAAGTTACTCCACAGGTTGACAAAGTTACTCCATAGGTTGACAATAGCTAATAGAAGAAGGATGAAGGAACAATAGTGGACTATTCTTCTAATTAATACAAGAGGAGAGGAATTGGAGACCTACTCCAAGCGCGAAAAAGTTTAGCCAAATAGTCTCATGGTCACCCGGTCAACGGAAGCACTTCCGCTTTTCCGATAGCAGATCACCTATACTGTTCATTTCGGTGATGGAAGCAATAAGAAAGATGATGGATATAGCAGTTGTAGGCAGCTCACTAAAGGATTCAATCCAGGCTTAAGGACCAATGGAAATGCCAGAGTTTTTCATGTACTATTCACGGATGAGACCCAGAGAGGCAGAGATACTTCAGCTTTTCTACTTGAGACAGGTCCTAGTATAGTTTCAAGCGTTGTCGAGATTGAAAATCAATCCTCAAAAGTGCGAGACCATTCTGGTAAGAGGTGACCAACATTGAGCAATTAAAGAATTGGAGCACTCCCAACAACTTCCTAGAACTACCACTAAGAGCATCAAACAAGGACTCTTCGGCTTGAAATGTTGTGACTTGTGATTGAAAGAGTTGAGAAGAGATTAGCAGGGTGACAATATAGGTACTAGTCATAAATGGGTAAGGACGTCATGATCAAAATCATATGATCAATTGTTTCCATATATTACATGTCTTTCATGCCTACACCAACCAGCTATAACGGAGAAATTTCAACAAACTTTCTTGTGGAATATGAACAAAGGGACAAGGGAGCTTCATTTGGTAAGGTGACAACGTTGTTACATTCCCTATTTGGCACGAAGGCATCAAAGTAAGAGACTTGAAAGTCTTCCACGGAGCTTTAGTTGGAAAGTAGCTGCGGATGTTTGGGAACAAGGAGAATGTATTATGGAGGACAATGACGGTGAACAAGTATGATATACTCAAAAGGGGTTTCAAGAATTAAGGAGTTTGGAGAAGCATCATGAGGAATAGGACTTCACCGGAAATGTCACTTTCAACGTTGGCAACGGATACTCAAATAGGGTCAGCTTTTTGAAGCACAAATGGAGGTGTGAAGAAACTTTAAGGACTCATTTGGATGGATGGATTGAATAAAATCATGATATAAAATTTGATATTATTTTATCAAGTGTTTGGTTAGTCTTTTAAGTCCTGCATCACTAATCCCGGGACTACACTAAATTGTGTATTACTTTATACCAAATTTAACATCGAATGACAATAAATGGATTAAACACCAAAAGACAAAACTACCTTTATCTTTTCCTCAAATTCATCATCGACACCCTTTTAATTTTAATAAGGCTAAAAATAACTCCATATTATAAATTTTACCCTATATATTTAGTACAAAGAGCCAAACACCCAAATAGAAAATAATCTCATCATTGCTAATCCCAACATTATTAATCCTTGTATTATGATCCCTACATTATTATTTATTACTATTGTTTTTTCTTTTACTTTGGTTACCTTATTATTTTTTCTGTCAATACATTAGAGCCGTTAGGTTGAGAAGCAAGTTATGTGGATTAGTTGTGTCCGGATTAGTAATGCATGAATTATAACGTAGGAATTATAATACAAGAAATTAGAATACAGGGACTAAATTAATAATTGTCTAACCTATATGTATTTATCAATTATATGTTAAACAACAACAACAACAACCCATTAAAATCCCACTAGTAGGGTCTGGGGAGGGTAGTGCGTACGCAGACCTTACCCCTATCCCAAAGGAGTAGAGTAGCTGTTTTCGAAAGACCCTCGGCTCAAGAAAAGAAAAAGACAAAAAGAAATAATATTAGTATCACTACAGAAATCATATAAAGAATAGGAACAACATGAAATCCAGAAGAAAGATGCAAAGCAAAAGCGATAGCTAGTAAATATGTCCTGCACTGAAAAGCGAAATAGTAAATAAAATAATAAATAAATAAATAAAAACCTACCAGACTAGTCTCACAAAGATACGAAGGTAACACTCAACTACCTCCTAACCTATAACCCTAATACTCGACCTCCACATCTTCCTATCAAGTGTCATGTCCTCGAAAATCTGAAGCCTCGTCATATCCTGCCTGATCACCTCTTCCCAATACTTCTTAGGCCGCCTTCTACCTCTTCTCGTGCCCTCCATGACCAGTTGCTCGCACATCCTTACCGGAGCATCTGGGCTTCTCCTCTGAACATGCCCGAACCATCTGAGCCTCGCTTCCC